GCCCAGGCTGCATGGGGCTCTTCTTGGTGGGGGCTGGGATTGGAGCAGGCATTGGCAGTGCTGGGAGGATGCTGCATTCACTTGAAATTTTTGCTGCTGCTCCACTCCCAGTGCCACCACCACCACCAACTACTCAGTGCAGCCCTGGCTCAACACCCTGCCTCCACCTATGTGCTGGAAAGAGCCAGGGCTGTGTCAGGTAGGTGGCGGTGCTGGGAGTGGAGCAGTGGTGAAACTTGGGGTGGATGCAGCCTCTTCCCAGCACTGCCAGTGCCTGCTCTGAGCCCTGGCTGCAGGCTGCCCCACGCAGATCTGGGGGCCACACCCTGCTTCCCCTCCCCCCCCGCCCTCCTGGGGTGCAAGAAGTGTCAGGAGCCGCCTCCCCCTACTGCTGTGAGCCATGGCTCTGGTTCCCTCCACCACCCCATCTCGGCAGCGCCTGCCCCTGCCCCTTCCCTCACCATGGGGGGCGTTGATCTGTACCCCCACCATGCCCCTTCCCTCCCCACTTCCCTTCTACCACACCAGATTTACCAGCTGGGGGCAGCTGTATCAGAAATTGGATCAGTATCAGCTGATGTGCCTCCTTAAATACTAGCTATCGGTATCGTCCCCAAAAATCTCTATCAGTGCACCCCTAGAAAATAATTGATTCAAGCATTGTGATGCTCATCAGCTTGTTCTTCCATGAATAGCTCACTAACAGTTGCTGCTCTAATGATTTTCTTAAGCTTTCCAGCTGTAAAGACAACTGTTTAACTTTGGCTACTGCCTGGAATAGGTATTTTACACAAGTAATAGCACAAATACTGTCTTGTAAACTCCTGATCTCTTTTGCATAGGGGGTGTTTATCTGGAACCATTTTTTGCCTCTGGTTTGTTTCCCAACAGTGGTCCTCTTGCGTAATGTTGCATACTCATTCCAGTAGTTATATAGTAAACACTTCCTGTGATCTGGTCCCTTACCATGTTAATAAATTAAAAAAACAGGGGACTGACTTATTCCTCTGATTCACTTCCTGAGCACAGTCCTTCCTGTGTATTAAATGACAAGAGTCCAGTGGAAAATAGTCATGCAATTATATAACTGAAGAGTATATGATGATACACATACTTTGACTAAATTAAGCATGTATGGACACTTTTTCTGGCATTTCCTAACTTCTCAAGCTTGACTTCTCAACTTGGTGTGTATTAATCACAGATCCTGGTTTTCTCTGTTTAAAAAAAAAATAGTGCATTCTCTGATTAACACCCCACCTCCAAATCTGTGTTTTTCTGTGATTACAATGAAATGCCGCTATATACATAGATATCAGTTGAACACAATGTTTTATTGATATATTTAGAATTTTAAAGCAATTTGGAAGCCTATCAGTGCCTCAGTCACTATAATAAAATAATTTCTAAATACTTATCAATTTTGGCATTTGATTTTTTTTTTTTTTGGGTTTATCATGGAAAATCAGAGCTTCCCCTGTCCCCTTTGCTCACCAGGATGCAGGTCCAGCTGTAGCTGTCCACCCCCACTGCTTTGTGGCACTGAGCAGCCCTGATGCTGGTGCCCTGTCCATGCTATTGCCCCTAACTTAACACCCACACCCCTTGCGACCTGCTGGTGCCCCTCACCCTGCCACTCTCCAAGCCCTGCTGAAGCTGGTCTCCAGTTGCCAGGGCTATGGGGCCAGGGACTCTGGTCTGCATCTCCCTACCCCAAGTAGTAGTGCCTGAGCCCTGGCTGCTGCCTGTGGAAGGTAGCAGCTGCTGTGGCACAGTGGAGTGCAGAGCCTGGCTTCTCTCCCCATGGGCGCTACAGCCCAAACATAGCCCATGGGAGGGAGGTGAGTGTGGGCTGCCTGCTGCAGGCTTGTGGGGTCTGGGTCCCCGCTGCTGTGCGCAGTCCTGGGGTGGGTTATGTGGGGCATGTGCCCCCCAGATTTGTGTACCAGGCAGGTGCAGGCTGCAGGCTTGGGGCTCCTTGTCCTGCTGCTCTCCTCTTGTGGCCTCCATAGCCCAGCAGGTGGGACCCAGTACAGCAGGGCAAAGCACGGCTGGGCACCACCACCGCAAGCCCTGGCCCCTGCCCCCACTGCTACCCACCGAGCAGGGGGAGGCTTGCCATTGTCGCTGCTGTTGGGAACCCCCTGCTATATTGAGCTTCCCCACCCTGCCCTATTGTGCTGGTTCTGCCAGCTGGGCTGTGGAGGCTCCAGGGGGAGGTCAGCAGGGTGGGAAGCCCTAAGCCCACAGCCTGCATCTGCCCCACACAGATCTGGGGGTCTTGTTCCCCCCCATGCCTCCCTAGGAGTGCGTGCAGCAGTGCGGAGCCAACCTGTCCTCTGGATGACCTGCCCGTGGCCCCATCCTGCTCCCTGCCCGGGCCCTGAGGCCACACATTCCAGCCTTCAAGCCCCACACGCCACCTGGGCTGGGTAGCAGCCCCAGCCCTCCCCTGTATGTGCACACATGCATATGGTGCCCCCTGCCTGTCCTCCTGCTCCCACAGCTCCCTGCAGGCTGGAACTCTGCCAGCCTGAAAGGAGAAACCCACAGTTTCCATGGTTTTCTCCTTCAAAAGAGAAAATCCGTGTTTTATGGGATTTTACCATAGGATCCCTGGTGTTAGTGTGTTTATCAAATACCATGTACAGTATAAACATTAATTTGCACAACATCCATATATTGATTATTACCTTTTAAGTTGCTGAAACACCTCTCAACTTTACCAGTTTCTTAGAGAGATTTAATTGGGGCCCAGTTCGACCTTTCTTGCACATTCAGTGGCAGAATCTCTTATTAGCTTCAGTAGTGGAGGGTTATGCCCATGATACTTTGACCTCTTCTGCAGTTCTCATTTCCAAGCTAAAACAAAAACAAAAAAAATTGATACATGTAGGAATGAAGTTAACAAAGAAGTTCTATTGATTGACTGAAGAGTTAACATTATGAAAAGATAAGCTTTAAAAACTTTTCCCAAACAATGGCTAGTGTGTTTTTATATTGGATGTTGGCACATACCTCCTCATGCAATTTTAATTGGATAAATAAAGGTGTAGCTTGGAAGCAAGGCAACAGCTTTTGTTTGGAGCTTGAGTTACAAGCTTTTCTTCATTCTAGGAAATTTAATTACAAATGACCCAGTTAAACAGCTGCAGACTTTAATTGTAGTCACACTGGCTACAGAAAGGACAGGTATAACTTTATGAAATAACACCCATTTACATTTTACATTTCCCACTCGCCTGGGGTGAGGGGGCACAGAGAGGGATTGTCCCATTTGCCCAGCCCGGCCTCGGTGGCAGGGGGTGATGCTCAGCCCAGTCATGACTAAGATTGACTGTCAAGCCCTCTCTGATAGACCAGTTGATTGGGATCGACTGGTTGGTGACCACTGATATAAAGCCCTTGCCACCCTAACAGATTAACAAGTTTTCAAATTTAGTGTATTTCAAGTCATGTTAAGCCTTCTGCATTAATTGTTTTTAAGCTTTTGGGAAATGCTTCTCAGTTTAGAGAATCTTGGGGCAAAGTAATACAATAGCTTGTGATTTTTTTTTTTTGCTCTCTGTACGATCAGCATAGGACTAATTTTCCCCACAGAATTGGGCTTTTGTTGTTGTTTTTTTAAGTGTAATTATACACATTTAAATAAATTCTTATATGTACAGATGCATCTGTCTACAGATTTCATACTTTAGATATTGCTTTTTCGACTCGTAAAGGCTGAATGTATGTAAATAGTGCAATATTATCCTCTTCTAACTGAACACCTTAAACTCAAAGGGTTTTATTCCACATGGAGAAGACTTTGCCATTTATTTTGGATGCAAATTATTACAGAATAATTGTTCTGATAGTATTGTGTTTGCAGGTACAATTATTGCTTGCTTTTTTCTGAAATGGTATGTATAGAAAGCAATGATTTGAACTAAAACTTGGAATTTCTAGTATGCAGGACACTTCAAAAAAAATTTTTTTTTTTTTTTTTTAAACACTAACATAGTATTTCTGAACCTCAGTCTTTATTCTGAACCATGTTGCTGCTCAGTGAAATTGGGAATATCAGGAGATGCTGGGGTGCCAGGCTGGGGCTTTGGTTGCAACTGGGGCTCCACGGGCACTCAGTTTGTTTTCAGAAGAAACCCTGGCATTCCACATGAATAATCCCTTGAATTTTTAGCAAATAAATAAATAAAATTGGAGAGATTTCAGGTAAAATGTTACACCATTCAACATTTCCCAGATGCTTTGAATTGGCTGTAAAGTTTTCTACAAAAATAATGTACAATGAAAAGGAGTCAGCATAAAATGCTTCATTTCCCTGCAAGTTAATTGGTAGTAGTTGTGCAGATTATGCGGGTTCTGGAATATTATATCTGGGTCAGGATACATGTCTAACCGTCTTCCATCTAACTTTTCAATTCAGACATCTGAGCTGGAAGCTACCTCATCTTAGGTAGCATCTAAACTCAGCCAGTCTGGATAAATCCTTCTTCATGGATTCAAAATATCATTTATTTTTTTCATCACTTAATAATCAAGCATAAAGCAATTTAGTTGAAGCATACATGTCATTTTTTAGAATTAATATTCTCCAGAAAACAGTTTTCCCTGCTGTTGTTTGACTTTAAAGTATTCATCTGAAAAATCCTCTTTATCACAATAACAAACACATTGGGCAAACAGCCTATATAATCATGTTTGCTGTACTTAGTCATTGGCATTTAGAAGGTGCACTGCATTCATTATCATTCTGATAGTTTTTGTTTGCCACCTACACTTTATACATTTGCATTCCATGCTCTAGTTCACTTGGATCCTTTTTAAAATAAAATACAAATAGTAGTCTTCCACAAATCACTGGCTGCACTAGCAAAAAAAAACAAAAAAAAAAAAATCTCCTTGATTTATTGACTGTAGGAAAACAGTACTACAGGGTACTATATTACATGTGCAAAGGAATGTGAAAATCAGAGTCTAATATTAGTTGTTATTCTTATATTTAATATTTACAACTTTCTTTTTGTTTAGGTATATGTATCATGTTTTGACCAAAAATACCACAGTTACGGATCATAACCGGAATCTCTTAGTAGAGACTATTCGTTCCATAACTGAGATCCTTATATGGGGTGATCAGAATGACAGTTCAGTGTTTGAGTAAGTGGTTTAAATCTTTGCTATCATTGTTATTATCAATAATAATACAGTTGTTGATCAGAAGATCTGGAAATGGTTGGTATTTCATATATAGGAGGTATTTTCTTAGATTCATTGATTCATAGATGCTAGGGTCAGGTATTTAGTCTTAATTGCGAGGGGTGCTTTCAAAATGAGTAGCATGGAAATATAGCAGAATTGTACCTGTTGAAATACTCCCTAGCACTACTCTAGGTGTTAATGTGAAAAAAATTGAATAAACTATTGAGCAATTTATCATTGCTCTCTAATTGCAGAATGTATATGATTAGTTTAGAAGCAGGTTTAGTCAAACATTTTTTCCATTTTTCTTAGGTTAGGGAAAATGCATTCTAATATAATTTTATAAAACTAGAAGATTTGTGAATAAATAGCTTGAGAATTGTCTGTAGAATTTGTTCTTGGTGAATGCCACTGCAATACTAAATTGTATATAAACATGTGCAACAACACAATGTCCAACCAATTTTTCACAGATTTTTAATACTGGGGTGGAATATCTAGATACCTGTTGTGCTAAGATCAATCCATCTTTTTTTTGTGAATCATTTTTCATTGCACATCCTGATTTTTTTTTTTTTTCAGCTGACTTTTTTCAGTAAATTAAACATTGATAAGTTGCTTAACTACTAGATCTTTGTATTTGAAACATCACATAATTTGCATTTAGTGATTTTTGGTTATTTGTTTAGTTTTCAAGAAGCTACTTTTGTTTGAACTGATTAATGGATGCAATTTTTAAGAGTTTTACAAATGCACAGTATTTAAGTTGTCAAATTTAGGTAAGGATTCAAACAAACAAAATATAGCCAATGAATTAATATGAGTTCTTTATTGTTTTCTAGCTTTTTCTTGGAGAAGAACATGTTTGTTTTCTTCCTAAACATACTGCGTCAGAAATCTGGTCGTTATGTGTGTGTGCAGCTGCTGCAGACCTTGAACATCCTCTTTGAGAATATTAGTCATGAAACCTCACTCTGTAAGAACTCCTCATTGAAAGCTAAATTTTGATTATTAAGCAAATTTTAAATCCTGAGTATATGGTCTAATCTATTTTCATTTTGTTAACTTGAACTTGCTGTGTTTTTTGATAGCGCTGTAAATCCATTACAATTTCATTCTGAAGTCTGTTTCAAAATTAGTTTCCAGTTTGCATACGAGTTTTCAGCAGTACAGTAACCTTTGGGTTGTACTGTTGGAAAAAATATAGTAGCTCCACATTTTTAAAGGGGCTCTTTAAAATAAACCATAAAGTCACTGGTTAGGTAGGGCCTAAAATGTCTGCTTTTCTCTTGCTGAGAGAGCATTTTTCAGTGAACAAAACCTCCTTTTGGAGTTGTTCTGACTGATGGAGCTGGCATTCCAACAAAACACCATGTTAAGTTCAGTGTCTCTTTAAAAGTTTAAGATGACAAGGAAATGCCAACACTTGCTTAAGAGCAGCAGCAAGTGGCAAGCAGAAATAATCCACGCTTTTGAGAATGTGTAATATGGAAGGGGAAAGAATTGGTCTAAAGATTTGATTACCAGCCACAAAGTCTTGTAGCTTATATAAGCAAAAATACAGATGGAAGTATATTTTGTTTCCATTTTAACCTTGTCTATGGAAGTCTTTTGTAGGAATTTGGTGCAGAAGCATATTGGTACTACTCAAAGCAGCAGTTTTTGAAAGAAACTCATCCTTCTTCTCCCCCAGTATACTTAATCTGGTGGCCACTCCAGCCAGCCTGGAACCTGTGCTGTGTGGCACAGATCTTAGAGTGGTTGAAACTGGCACTACTTGCAGCACAGTCTGTCCAGAGTAGCAGCTGTGCTGCACATGGTGGCCACCCTGGCCAGACTGCTGTACATGATGGTTGCCCCCGGTGGGTCCAGGAGTGAGCTGCAAATGGTGTTTGGTGCAGTTAGTCTAGGATCTGTGCTGCACATGGTACCTGTGAACATTGTGTGCAGTGCAGGTCCCAGACTGGATGTGTGCACTACGTGTCCCAGAGCAGGCACTGCATGCAGTGCAGGCTAGCCAAGGTGGTCGTCACATGCAGTACAGCTGCTCCTCTGGTTGGACTGTTTTGCATGGGGCGCCCATTCCAGCTGTTCCAGGGACCACGCATAGTGCAGGTTCCAGCGGCTGGTGCAGCTGCTAGGTAAGGTATGCTGGGGGAAGGGTCCAGGAGCCTGATCCAGCCTGCTTACTATTCCCACACCATTGGTGTGTGCTGTGCCCCATGTGGGTCTGATCAGACCCAGGGGAGGCGCCAGGTAGTGGGGCTCTGCAGGCCGCATGTTTGGTGCCCCTGATTCAAAGTCTTAATTTCTGTTGCTGGCATAAAAGTAGGGATATTTGCTTAACAATTAAAGATTTAACTACTGCTAGGTTACCCTTTTTTATATAGTGCTTTTCATTGTCAGGTATGTCATTTACATTACAGACTAATTTAATGTTTATCCTTTATGGTGCTTTGTGCTACAATTCTTCATTTCAGATTATCTGCTCTCCAATAACTATGTAAATTCCATCATCGTGCACAAATTTGACTTTTCTGATGAGGAGATCATGGCCTATTATATATCATTTTTGAAAACTCTTTCTCTAAAACTCAACAATCACACTGTACATTTTTTTTACAATGAGGTAAGTGGCTGCTAGTGTTCTTGATAAGATTTTCTAGACACAGTAAATGAAAAGGGAGGAGGTGCCTAATACTGAACTGTTGTAGATCCGTGTTTCACCACTTTCATCCATATGTCTGAGCAATTCTGTATCCTACCTAGATTTCTTTTCCCATTTAGCCATAGTGTAAAATTATGGTAGTGCAGAGCTCCAGGTACTAGTACCTTATTGTACAAATGGTTGTCCCTGCCCTGAAATACTTGTATTACTTTCAGATCTTGCCCTGGAATACAACTGAAAAAGTTGCTTTGGTGCATTCATTCCAGGCTTGGGTCTTGATGAAGTTTAGAAACCCTATTATGACATGAGATCTGCAGGCTCGGTCAAATGGCAGATTTAATTTGGAGTGTGGGGTTGGTTTTTTTTTAATAAAGATAACCAAAGTCAATGGGCATCAATTTATGTTTGTAAACTGATTGAAATTTCTGACTCTGTAGTTCCTAATAAGTTTTTGGCTGAAAGTTCAGTAATTATTTCAGAATGATGTTCCATATACATTTATCAGAAACATGGGGAAATCTTTCTACTAACAATTGTACTATAAATAATGTATTTGACATTTCTAATACTGGTTTCATAGTTTCATAGTTGGTAGGGTCGGAAGGGACCTAAGCAGACCATCAAGTCCTACCCCCTGTCATGGCAGGAAAAAATGCTGGGGTCAGATGACCCTGGCAAGGTGTCTATCTAGCCTTCTCTTAAAGATCCCCAGGGTAGGAGCCTGCACCACTTCTCTTGGAAGTTGGTTCCAGATCCTAGCCGCCCTGAATTTGAAGTAGTGCCTCCTGATATCTAGCCTGAATCTGCTCTGTCAACTTACGACCTTTATTCCTTGTTACTCCCACTAGTGCTCAGGGGGAACAGGGACTCTCCCATTGCCTGCTGGTCTCCCTTGGCTGGTTTATAGGTGGCCACCGGATCCCCTCTCAACCTTCTCTTGTGGAGGCTGAACAGGTTCAGGTCCCATAGCCTTTCCTTGTAGAGCCTGCCCTGCTGCCCCCTGATCATGTGAGTGGCCCTCCTCTGGACCCTCTCAATGTTGTCCACATCCCTTCTGAAGTGCAGCGCCCAGAACTGGATGCAATACTCCAACTGCGGCCTGACCAGTGTCACATAGTGGGGGAGGATCACCTCCTTGGACATGCTCGTGGTGCATCTGTGGATGCATGACAAGGTGCGGTTAGCCTTGCTGACCACGTCCCCACATTGGCGGCCCATATTCATTTTGGAATTAGTAGTGACACCAAGATCCTTCTCTGTCTCTGTGCCGACTAGAAGGGAGTTCCAGCCTGTAGGTATGCTGCTGGTTCTTTCTCCCTAGGTGCAGTACCCTGCGCTTGTCAGTATTGAATCTCATCATATTCTCATCTGCCCACCCCTGTAACCTGTCCAGATCCAATTGGAGCCTGTCCCTTCCTTCTAGCGTGCTCACTTCTCCCCACATCTTGGGGAGAACGGGGTAAGGGACAGTGTCGAAGGCCTTCCTAAAGTCCAGAAAGATGCCGCGACACCTGCGTCCAAGGATTTTGTGACTTGGTCATAGAAGACCACCAGGTTGGTCTGACAGGACCATTATGGTTATAATGAAATGATTTACAGATGTTGCAGGTGTGGCATTGTCACACAGATATTCATAAGCATAAAGCCTACACAATATCCTAGTCCTGTTACGTAACTTCAGAAAAAGAAAAATATGTTTTCACTCTTTCTTCATTAACACACACAGTCTAAGAATGTGGTAGACTAATTTGGCAACAAGAAATTGGCCAGTTTGCTGGTGTTTGCCTAGTTGTGCAGGCCTTTCAATACAAGCCTTGTTCGGTTCAGCAGGATGAAGCAACTCTGCTGGTAGAGCTGAGTTCTGCCACCACAGGGAGCTTTGAGTACAGAGGAACTCAAACTTACTGATAGAACTCAAATTCTGTTGGCAAAACTTTATAAGTGTGCAGCAGAATGTGTGGTCTGCGGCATAGGCAAGGGATTTGTTGTACACAGTAGCTGCCTGGTAAAGTGCAAGCAACTGTTTGATGGCTTCTGGTGCAACTCTGAGTTAGTATGTAGGCAGCTTTAATTGGGCACTAATGGGCTTAATTAGGTACTAATTAACTCTACAATATACGTTTGTGTCTACACATCTCCTCTTATTAGAACTCACAAAACTTATAAACTCTGGAGTGGGCTAGTACTTGTAAATACAAGTACTACCCTGCTCTTTTTCATGTATAGCAGCGTGTGTATAGATGCTGGAAGGGCTGGCTGGGGTGCAAGGGTGTTTCAGTGCGGGGATTGCATGCCAGCTAGCTCATGCATTGAAGCACCCTTATGCCCCAGTCAGCCCTTCCACAGCACATTGAGACTGGTTGGAGTAGCCCTAGGCATTGGACTGTGCATGAATAAACTCTGGAGCTGATTGCTCCCGAGTTTGTTCTTCTTTGCTCCTGGATGCATTTTCAAATGTGTTGCCTGGGAGCAAAAAACTTCAGAACAATATGTCCAGAATTTTTGTGTGCATTGATTGCATATGTAGACACACCCACAGAGGTGCTCATGCTAAGCTCTCTGTGATGAAATGCAACCTGAATTAATTAATTTTAAACACTGTTCTTAATATAGAAATCAGTAGGCTTTGGCAAAGGGCATGTGATATTTAACGTTTTTTTTTAAATTGCTGTCTGTATTACTGCCAGATGTCTTAAGTGGTTTGCTGTCGTTGCTATTACTATTAGACTGAATCTTTTTTACAAAGTAAGAAAGGTGATACTGCATACTTTGGAGTAGTTTTAAGAGGCATTTATAAGTGCTAGCAAGTGCTGCATTTTGAAAAGTGAGAGAGAAGCCACTTTAATCTTAGCCTATGACCAGCTTTTTTGATTTTTAAAAAGTATAGATTTAGAAATTTAAGTGGAAATACAGTGCAACAGAGATGGTGTTATGAATTCTTTCAATTTCTTGCTATTTATTTTGGTAAAATACAGTATAAACTAAAATAACTAGATTTAAAGCATTTTTTAAAGGTTTTTAAAATATTGCGGTCACATCTCCATTTATAAATGTGTTATTACACACATTTACAACACCTCTCTTTGACTTTTTACATATGTATATTCAAATTAACTTAAGTTACTAAATGTCGGTGTTAAATTTGAAATCTTGTCTAAAAAGAGTTACCCTGAGTTGCCTGCTAAATTTGAATGATAAACGCCACATCTCAGAATTATGACATGCAATGCAGCTAAACTTCAAATGTGCCATTAACTTTTTAAATCTAAATATATGCTATCCACCTAGAATTATTAACTGAATAACTCGATCCTAATCTTGGAGTTGGATCCCTGTAAATAAATCATGCATGAAGTTGGTAGAAGTAAGTGCAGGAAAGGCATCCATTCTGCTTCATTTGCAGGACTGGGGTTTAAAGGTGAACTTTTTTCTAGTAACATTGTATTTCTCCACATACTGCTTATTACCAGAAGAGGGCATCAGTGTTCTTATGATACAATGAAGTTGTTGTGTAAAGGTAGTAGTTAATTTTATTAATTTTTTTTAATGATAATGTTTTTAGTTAAATATTGCTTAAACACCCAGCTGATGTTTAAAACTGGTTTTGCATTGTTAGTGATGAGCAGTAAGACTATCACACAGGCAGTTTTTTTTTGTTTGCATCATTACATTATTTATATATTTTAGCAGTTTCTTGGGAGGGTAACCTTTTCAGATAAAATTGTAGCAGAGTATTGAATATTTGTTAAGATAATTCACAATGTTTGTGTTTTGTTTCAGCACACTAATGATTTTGCCCTGTATACAGAGGCTATTAAATTTTTTAACCATCCAGAAAGCATGGTTAGAATTGCTGTCAGAACTATAACTTTAAATGTCTACAAAGGTATGTTTTGTAAATCAGAAAACTTGTATATAGTTTATATACTTAATGTTATTTTTGTGTAACCAAGTGTAATGTTAACTATTAAACATGTCTCAGGTTTACTAAAAACAGCCCCTGATTTGTCGGGTTCAGCTGTTAGTATGTTTTAACATGCATGAAAAGTATGCTTTAAATGCATGTTTTGATCTTTATAAAAGTACTACAAATAAGCACTGCAGTTATGTTATAGAAATACTGGTACTAATATTTTATCCTTGATACAGGAAACAGTCAAAAACAAAATACACAAGAAAATTCACCTTTACAGCCAGTAGAGGTCACACTCTTACTGTTCCACTGAAAGTATGATTCCCTTAAGGATATTGCCCTTTAACATTATGCATTGCCTATCAAAATATTCATTCAATGTCAAATTTGTATGCCCGAAACAACATTGATTCCCCTTTTGGGTAGTAAATCTGATTCTTGCACTCATTAGTTTAATCAGTGCACAAAAACTATTGATGGTACAAAAGAAATCTATCCCTTTCTATCATCTAGTCTAGTGTTTGTGCATTCCATAACAGAACACTTTAAAAAAAAAAAAAACAAAAAAAAAAACCCAACAGTCCTTTGTAAGCTCATCTGTGCAGTCTATGAAAGATAAGGAAGTCTTCAAATTCTGCCTCTAGCACAAGTCATGCTTTGGAGTGGTCTGTATGGTGATTAACATTCATATAAGCCTTTTTATTTCCTATGCCATTTTAAACAGCTTTTCACATTTAAGTTGAAAACAAAAAATCTTTAGGACTAAGTCTAATTACATAAAAACGGATTACTGTGCCTGCTAGAAATTGGTGGATATTTAATTTGTGCACACAGTGAAGAGAAGATTCAAATATCGCTACTTCCTAGTATACGTTCAGATATAAAACAAATGTGGCAATGGCTCTTTGGTGAGCCTTCTAATTTGAACAATACCTGATGAAACAAATGAATCCATTTTGTTTCCTGCCAGTGTGTGTTCCCTTCAAATACAGCATATCCAGTAACAGAAACATTCCAGTTGGTTATAGATAAGCTTATGGAGGAAGTAAAATGACATTTATAGTATTAATGTAATGAAGCCCCACTGACTGCAGAACTTTTTTCTGAATACTACAGTATAAGTGCCCACTTAAAAAGCAGGGGAGAATTGTTTGATATAGAACTGCAGTTGCTGGATACCATCAGTGCTTTTTCTTTTTATGAACACTCCAGTGGTGGTGGTGTCTGAGCAAAATGTGGTTCTTTCTATATGTTCCGCAAGCAGGAATCATGCTGTGCTCGCTCTTTCATGCACGCTCGCTCTTTCTTCTTACTTTACATGTATATAAAAATTTCTGAACATGAGCCAGCTAATACAAAACCATTTAAGCTTGATAAACATCATAACTTATTTGTGTACATTTCCTAAATTTAAAGAAAAAGTTTTTTGATGAAAATGTTCTTGTCTAGAGTTTAAATTGAATGTTGGAGTGCTACGAGGGTTGAATTTGAAAAGCACAACTATCAAACCTGCAGGTTTCATAATTTTCTATCAGTTTGAAAATATTCTGATCTAACACTCTCTAACCTGTGTCTTTTAGTTTAGATGCTTCTTGCTTTTAGCTTTTTAACCCTTTTGGAGGATGTATCACCATCCCAGTTCCTAATCCTATTAACTGTTGTCTGTTTTTCTTGCCCTTCCTTCACTGATGATTTGATTCCTGTGTTCCTTAATGCAGTGTCATGTAAGTCTAATTAGTTTGGCTTTCAGCATGATTGCTTTATTCTTACACTTGTCTTTTTTAAAAAGCAATTTACTTGAAGACTAATTGTTCTGAACTGCGCATTGTTTATCTTCATATCAATGTAAAAATAACTTCTTAGTGTTTTAATACTCATTTAGTGTTAAGTTATGTCAGACTTTCAGAGATATGTTTTGTGCATAAGTTAAACCCAGGTGCATACACATGAAAAGCTAGCATGCAGCCAGAACTCAAAGGTATCTTTCTTATAGCTTTTTTCAAATATTAACATTTGAAACTGATTGTCTTTAAATTTTCTATTCAGTGGACAACCAGCCTATGCTGCATTACATTCGAGATAAAACTGCTGTCCCTTACTTCTCCAACCTTGTTTGGTTTATTGGAAGCCATGTTATAGAACTGGATAACTGTGTGCAGACTGATGAAGAGTAAGTTTTTACAAATACTGTTTATTGAATAGTAGTAGTACTTTTCCTGCATACATTGAAAATCCCTATTTCCTTATATGAAATGATCAAGGCTAAGCTGCATACTGGTAGGAGCCGGAGTCTAATTCTTAATAGGTGATGAGAGGCAAATGTTTCTTAGGGGTTAGGGACAGAAGTTATGGATAAACTAATATAAGTGATGAGAAACCAGTTCAAATCTGTAACACAGCGGAAGTTCAGTGCACATAAACCACTTTCAAAATGGCTGAAACCAGTTTAAGATATACCTGGATGGATGTAGTATCAGACTTAACTGATTTAGTTTAAATTGGTTTATTGAACTCCTGTCCCAGATCCCCTCCAGATTCAAGTTTAACTCTGTGTGCCAGCATTCCAGGATGTTTTGCACTCCCCCACAAATCCCCCCTCACAGGGTGTGATTGGTTAACTTTGGCACAAGCTGTCTGCTCCATTCAAGCAGGGAGGTGTGTTTTAGTGCCCCCTGGCTTCTGGTCTGGGCCACTGCAGGCACGTGGCTCCATTTCTAGAATCAAAAGCAAGTGTCTGTTCACTTGCTTATTGGTTCAATCTGCACAGTTTAGATTAACCTGCGAACATTAAATTGATTCAGCCTTAAGCTTTTTGACTGTCTGTACTTAGCCAGGTGATATTTTTTGCTGGACCAGCTACATAGTTGGAATAGAGTTAGACAAGCTTTAGGATGCAAAATGTTCTTCACCCGGTCTGAGGAGTAAAAGCCAGAACAGCATAGTAAAAGCCAGCTTAACACAGCATATAGGTCATGCTGGGAATCCTTGCAAGAAGAATCTTGTAAATAAATGATGTATTCAAAATATTACTCCTTATTCCAGTTGTTCTAAAGGATACAACTGGAGTTCAATGTATAAACTACTTAAATATGGAAAAGATACGCAGGACTATTTCTGTTTTTTAGTGTTAGAATTCAGTCTCCTTTTAGACACTTGACTTTGCTGTCTGAAGGTATGGGTACACAAACTAGTTACTATGAAGTAAAAGTGAATTACTACCTCCCAGCTTCTCCATGGTAACTGCACATATGCCCATTCTTACCCAGTTGTAGATGACAGACAAAGCACAGTAGCTTTTAGCCAGACTTCATAGAGGCCTTTCATTGCTCATAGAGCAGTTGATACGTGGCCCTGTTTACCTCTTCATTGGTACATATACAGGCAGCCTCCACTTAGTGCTCTTAATTGGTTCCTGAAAAACTGACTGTTAAGTGAAACGGAAAGTATTTGACAACCCAAGATGATGACCGCAGTTGTTTTTAATGACCCAAAATGGTGACCTTGAGCATTTATAACAAAACTCACTGAGCACTAAGTGATATCGGGTATCAATTTAAAATGAGCGTTATAGTGAAATAGTGCTAAATGAAACAGCGTTAAGTGGGGGTTGCCTGTACCTGTTGCCAGCCAGTGTTCTGAATTGCTTCTTTAGAAAATTAACTTAGGCTCTGTACGGTGTTCAATTCTCAACCTATATTTTATTGTCATTATTATAACTGGCAGAACTGCAACTCCTATAGTACCCCTTGTTGTCAGCAACTCATACTGTCTATTAGTACCACTTGTCTGTGGTTATAGAAAAGAAATAAACCCAGTAAAAAACTAAAATGCTCTTACTGCCTTTTTATCATTGAAAAAAAATGGTAATTGTTCCTTTCATGATTGCTGTCTGAGAAGGCTATACTACAAGGTAGCTCTGATGTTTGTCATGTTTGATAGAAGTTAAAAAATCTTGTTCTTTGCTATGGGATTGCATCTCCAAAACTGAAATCATATTGTATATTTTCCTTTAGTGTGACTGCATGAGCTGAGTCTCCAGGACTACAGACAAGTATTTTGGCTTTAACATTAGACAGTCGGTCTACCAAGAATGTTACCTAGATTTAAAAAAAATCTAAACAAACAAAATCAACCCGCCCTCCCCACAAACAAACAAAACCCTTTTCCCCATTTAGTTGTAATGACACTGCTATGTCTAAATCTCTTTCTCTTTTTCAGGCACAGAAATAGGGGTAAACTGAGTGACTTGGTAGCAGAACATCTTGATCACTTGCATTACCTTAATGATATCCTTATTATTAATTGTGAATTCTTAAATGATGTGCTCACAGACCACTTACTTAATAGACTCTTCCTGCCTCTCTATGTGTATTCATTAGTAAATCAAGATAAGGTAAGAAATAGCTGTCATTAATAATTAAGATTTACCTAAATGTTTTCATTAAATAGTTTACTGTAATTCGTGTATCACTTAAGTCAAATTAATATTCTGTACATCAAAGTACTTTACAAGAAATACATTTTAAGTAACTCAGGTCCCTTTTTTAAATAGCTTATTGAAGGAGAGCAACTTAATGCAGATGATGTACATGGGTTTTATGTACTAAGTATAGTACGGTTTTCAGTCAATATACACACTTAAATTCTAGCAGATGGTAATGGGACAGAGCAGCTAGTTCAAGTTTGGATTAGAATTGTCCTTAAGTTTGTCAGGTGTTCACATTTAAGTTTGAACATATCCTGTGCTGAAAAAGTGTTTTATCATGGCAATCTGTTCAAGCCAAAGGCCATTCTTGAGTGAAATTGCAATGCCATGTTTAAATGTAAACTCAGCTTTAGAACTTAATTTTTACCCCACACATTGGCTGACAAACTGTGTTAGAACCTGATGCAGCTAAGAGCATATATTGTTTAAACAAGGCTTTTAAACGCATTTAAGGCCAATAAAATTTGAATCGGAAGCACACTTTCGATAAGGTGAACTTCTAAGATGACAGCAAAAAAGCTGGTTTTGGACTTTGTTTCTCAGATGCATTCAAGTGGCCCCTAGTCATAGTCTGATATTTCTTCCTCCCTCCCCCCAAATTTTTCTATATTTTTTTTTTTTAATGTGGTATTGCTATCCATGTCCTTCACTGTAAGAGTAGAATTAGAAGTGATCTGTATAGGGGAAAAAATTGAATTTTTTTTCTTTAAATTGTCTGATCCTGGCTCTTATACAGGAAACTTGTAGCTAGAGGTGAGGTGATGCATATAAGCAGGAAATATTTGGTTACATTTTCTTTTTTTTTAAATGTCATAATTATGTATCTACTTTAATTTTCGATAATTTAGAATTTTTCACACACTGTCCTCTTCCTTCCATAGGGTGGGGAGCGTCCAAAAATAAGTCTCCAAGTTTCTCTCTATCTTCTATCGCAAGTATGTGTTTACATCTATTTAATTTCATTTCAGTGTATTATTTGTAATAGCATCAGCCATGTTTATAAATTGTTTTTCTCTCAATGTACCTGAAACAGCTAGAGAAAATTGCAGCAAGTTTTTTTGCTAGCTATTATATGGACTAAGTAAAAATCCTTTTATTTTAAATAGTGTTGTTTGAGATTTTTTTTTAGTACGCTGTCAAGAGGCAGATAGAGATGATTGTAGAAATCCCGTTACTTCACTGCTGAAGTCTGGCCGCCTTTGAGCAGAATGCGGCAGCTGTAAAACAGCTCACAATAATGCTACTCAGCATATTACCAGAGAGTAAAGATTATAGTATTCAACTGATGCGCAAGTAGAATACTGCAAAATACAGTAGCCCAAGTTTGAATAGGGTTGTAGAGAATATAATGTAGAATTCCATTGCACTAATGAAAAGAAAGTTGTTAGTATCAGTTAATGACTGAAAGTAGGCAGATTTGTTTCTGACTGATAATAGGGAAGGATTTTAGTTTGTGTGTTTAGCGTGTAAGCCTTGTATCAGAGGTCTAATAATTATTTTCTGCCCTGTTCTTCTAATAGGTCTTTCTTATTATACATTATGCACCTCTGGTGAACTCACTCGCTGAGGTTATTCTTAATGGGGACCTTTCAGTGTTCTCTCCTAAAGTTGAACAAGATATCCAGAAAAGTTCTGTGAGTAGCTAACTAATATTTATATTAAAATGAAGTTGTGGAAAAATATTTGAAAGAAGCCAGTTCAGATAAATAAGTCATTCACTTAAGCAAGCCAGAATATTTTGCTTTTAGGAAGGGTGTGAGAGCCTTATTTCATATTCAGCTACTGGACACTTGAACAGTAGTACAAGGTACAACTTTGAAATATAATAGTACAATGTATTCACTTGCAAGCATTGTATACTTACTTAAGCAAGCATTAAATATTATTTCTGCAGATATATGTGTACTTGTACATACTACAAAAGTCAGAGCAGAGTGTATACACATCACTAAAATTTAGATGTTTGTCCAGTTTGTTTCTAGAGAAGTGTACCTCTATCACTTGCAGTCAAAGGCTATATCATAGGTCCCTGGTAGACTGTTAATTGCATGATAAATGGCAGCATGCCACACATGCAAAAAATTTAGATGCAGCCAAATGCCAAACTAGCTACAAAGATGCTCCATGTTTAATGGTTCTCCCAGGTTGGGCTCACAGTGCTCTGGGATCTTGGAAAAGTCCATGAATAGTCCAGATTCCAAGGTGATGTGAGCACCAGATTGGGTTTCCCTCATGCTGGTTCCTTCATGCCGAACTGTATGGCATGATTTTTGGGATTGGGCATAACATTTCTCTGATCCAGATTGCATCATTATAAAACGTCTGCCAGGGGCCATAATCTAGTGTATCTGGCAATTTTAGAGTTGTTTTAAACAATTCCTATTTTTTATTAATGATATCTTAAGTTTTTATGTACACTTTTGTAGTTAGGCTTGAAATTTACTTCATAGAAGTCTTACCTACGTAGTTGTGGGTGAAATAAATACACATTCGAGACATTGGAGAGAATCTTGCATACAATCTTTGCAGTTATCAAAAGATTGATTTGGCTCCTATAAATGTTTACACTGGGCATTTTGTAAGTAGTCTTAATATAGTACAAGGTAGAGGTGCACTGATACATCAGTCCGATATCGGATCAGTACCAATATAAGAAAAATTGTCTACATCAGTTATGGGCCCGATGGGGCCAATAATTTGGCCGATAAATGCCCATGCTGCTCAAAGCCACAGCGCAGCATGGAGCAGAACCAGCAACATAGAGAGCTGTCTCCAGCTGGTAAGTCAGAAGAGGAGGAGGAGGGAAGGGACATGGTGGGGGGGCAGATGAACACCCCCTGTGGTGAGGGAGGGGGCAGTGGCAGGTGCTGCCTATCTGGGGGGAGGGGGG